GGCGACCATCTGTTTGGAAGTGCTTCGTGGGCGAACAACTTTTGTTGGATTTTGCTCATCTTGAAAAACCCAAACAGTCGACTGCTGTTTACTTTCGGGCTCATACGCGTAAATCCACGATGCATCACCTGCCACGATGTCATTGACGTGTTTCGAAGCACCGCAATCGTATTTCTTGAGCATTTCTTTCGACCAATGGACACTAGCCTTTTATTGAGCGATTGACAAATTGTGTGGGATGAAACGCAAATATTTTTACAATCAAATGTCCATACAATATTGAATGTATGCTGGCCCCACTAATGCCTAAGGTCTCAATCTCACGATAGGTCACATGACAATCGTGCAATATCAGTTCACGCACAGCATCAATGGTTTTCGGAACAACAACTGATTTTGGACGACCTTCGCGAAATTCGTCTTGGAGTGAACTACGACCAGGATTGAATACACCATACCATCGATAAACACTGGTACTTGGAGCTTCATCACCAAAAATTGAATTAAGTTCATTCATGCGCTGTTGCTGAGTTAATCTACGTCGAAAGTTGTAAAAAATAATCGCACGAAAATGTTTACGATTTAATTCCATTTTTGGGCCAAGACGAATCTTTTAAGTTCCTGTAAACAACACAAATAGCACTCGTATGTCAAAAAGTTCTGAGTACGTTTAACCTCAAAACAACCAACTTTACCATAGAGCTGTCAGTTGCCAGATTGCAATACCAGGGTTGCCAAATCCCGAAACATAAAAGGCAACCTTCGTGTAAGTTGTACGAAGAAGTCGAATGTTTTGAATTTTCAAAAAAGTAGGGTTTTTAACCAACATAAGTTCTGCACAATCCTCTTAAACGTCCTTCACACTATCCAACAAAAAAATAATAAAAAACGATGGAGTCTTTTTTATTTTGGAAAATGTCTCAGGGGCATCGTGTAAAATACTCCCGAAAGTTGAAATATCAGTTTCAAATTCAAGAGGCAGCGACATCAGTCATTGATTGAGGAATATCAATTTTGGAGAAAATGGACCGATCGATGTTTCGCCGTCATTCGATTTTACGGTATCAAGGGCCCACAAATCGGATTCTGGCTACGCCACGTGCTAAGAGAATTTCTTCTTCTAGCATTAACAAGCCCTGTAGCACATTAACAGAGCCCAGTAATAAAATAGTTTTTCTGCCGAAAATTCGCAGTTTTTTCGCGCAGTGTTTCATAACTTTCTCTCTATAGCGTAAGCGGTAGTGAGAGAGTTAAAAGTGGCAGAACCAGACGCAAGTACACTATTATACTTTCTTTTGGAGATTTTTGAGAGAAGTTAGCAATATCTGCCAGTATACTAATTCAAGAACACATATTTTATATAATTTTCTGCATGCATGTTAGGTTACCACAAACTTGTAAAACTTTTATCTGCGTTTGTTTTGTTTATTGCGCAATATCTGTTTTTGTTTCAGTTATAGCTTTAATTAACTGCAGGCGAGTACGAGCACTTGTTAACTTGTGAAAAAAGAATAAAATTTATGATCATAAAAACGGATAAACTCGGCACTTAGGTGTGACTCAAAGACAGCACGCTAGCTTCCTGTGAGGTGCCTCCGGTTTCGATTCAGAGCAAAACTGACGGTGTAGCTTCCTAATTCAAAATCGTGTTTCTATAGCTGGATGACGAAAGAAACAAGCGAAGCTAAAACAGCGTACTTTCTCGCCCGACGACTGCGGAGCCGCTAATGAACAGGTGAGTCGGGTTCCCCCGAGGTTCAACAACCTCTGCAGGTCACAATATAGTGCTCCCAACTTTGGAGGAAGAAATAAGTAAATGATAAATATAAGAAGGAGGGGGTTGTTGCTGCGTAATTTTTGTTAAAAACCCTGATATTTCGAAAATTGGAAAAATTTAAACATTTTTCTGCCATCCTACAACGACAATTTGAAGAAAAAATATTCTTAACGAAATGTTGCTTGAAATATGGGCAATGTTTTTTAAAAATCTCAAAAGCATTTTTTTATTAAATTGTGACCTCGGATGGCGTAAAAACGCTTAAGGGAGTGCTGCAATACCCATTTTAGTTCAAATATCTGATGCTTTCGAAATGTGCTTACATCAATTTGGAAATGTATTGTGCCCTTATTTCATAGAACAAGTTAATTTTGAAATAGATATTTACTTCTATGAAAGTATGCATGTTTTAATTTCAGAAAAACAGAATAATAAGCATTTTCATCCAGATTAATTAATATTCTTTGGTATCTGATTTTCGGAATAGTTTTCTTTTTACGTCCTTAATCTTTAACGCTTCGTAAATATGCTACTCAAGGTGTATCACTACTATCTGGAAGCTTAAACTCACTATAATCCGATGAAAAATCAGATCAACGGGACAAATTCACATATTCTCTTTTCACAGCCATCTCGTCGATGTTCTAAACACCGGGAGACGAAATGATGCAAGATCGCAAGGCAACGATGTTACAAAAAAAGAGCGCATTTCAATATTTCAAAAACTTTTTAAACGCCATCTTTTGGGGTTAGAGCAGTACATTCTGAAGAAGTGATAGAAAGTCACTTAAATAATGTTTCGAAATATTTTACGGATAAACGCCGTAATTAGAGTTATCGCCGTTTTACACGAACATAGTTGGCAACCCTACATTTACGGAAACAGAAACGTTTGTGTGCACAGTACCTGTGTAACCAACAGAATTATTTTGAAGGATGTCCACCTGGCTAGCATTGCTACCTTGAATTTCACATGTGATTTGATTCTTCTCGGAGACATTTTCAGTAGTATTACTAGATGGGTTCTTGTTTTTCTGAAATAAACAAAACACGCATTCTCTAAGTTTTTGAACACTAAAATGAAAATAATTGAAAATGTACTGTTGCTTTGGACATACACAACCCTGAGTAAGAAAATTTAGACCCTTGATCTGTAGGGATTGAGCAAGAGAGAGAAATGGTTTCAAGTTGCCTTCTGGAATTTTCACCTCTCCTCGATACACAAAATCAATCACTGCTTTGAGTGTATCAAATGTTGCATCCAAGAAGATGACAAACGGATCCTTTCCAGTTTCCTCACGAAACAGCTTCTATAAAGAGCAATACAGGAGAACAGAGAGAAAGATTAGCATCTCATCTCAATATCATTACTTGCGACACCAGCACCTTTAAAACATTTTGTGATATTTCAAAATAATAAACATGAACAGCAATGTAAACGGTATTTATGTTTTTATTATCTGATGATATCTAACAAGCTGTTTTAATGCAACCAGTACTGATGAGGCATTTTTTTCTTCAATCCATTTAAATTCTAATGAGCGTGTATATGTTATGTTAAGACATCACTGCCAAAAAATATAAATTAGCACTGGCATGCATTTGTTACTATTCATTCGAAAATGCATTATATTAATAACAAAAATGCACACGATAAAAGAGATGATTAGTTTATTAAAATTTATGATAGACTGCTTATCTTATCTAAACAAAACAATTATACTGCCCATACTAGGCAC